CCTATGTATCCTTTATGTCTACAATTCACTCTGCTCTCGGGGAGAAAATGTGAAGTAAATTAAGATCCACCTTAGAGAAAGGAGAGGGTAAGATGCCCAAATGGAAAGTGGAATTCCATGTCATCATTTACAACTTTATTTATAAGTTGTACATACAGATAGGTGGTTTTATTTATTATTACAGTATCGTTGGTGTTTCTCTTAATTTCTAACAACAGTCAGAGGAATGCTTATATATTTTTGTATGGGTAGCACTGATTTTTATGAGCATAGAATAAAAAACATATTATCTAGGCTCTTGTTTTTTCTTCTTCCTCGGGTTCTTTATTTCTTGTTGAATATCTTGGCTTAGCAGTATCTTTTCAAAAGAGGTACGTGAGAAAAAGGAGGTAAAATAAAAATTTAAAGGCCAGGAAGATGATAGTAAGTCTTGCACCAGCTAAGTAACTACACTTGACTTATTTAAACCAGTCCTTTCCAGCAGGACAGAGGTTCTCTATATTGGTCTCACATTATAGTCACCTGGGAGCTTTTAAAATTCCCAATGCCTAGATGCCAGTGCAGATCAGGATCAGAATCTCTAGAGGCAAAACCCAGGCATCGGACCTCATGCTAGAGACCCCACTGAGCTTCGTGCTAGAGACTTCTTTGAGCCTCATTTTCCTCATCAGGAAAAAAATTGAAGGTAAAACACAGATGGTTTGAGGAGAATAACAATGGGATAAGGTAGGTCAAAACTTTGAAAATAAAAATCCAATAATAGTAATCTATTTGAAATAGACTGCTGATAATTTAATCCTAATTACACATTTGAAAAAAAACCCCACAACTTTGGAACTGTCATTTAAGCTTATGAACTTAATCACTAACCTGCATTTTCTACCAACAAAATATCATTTGGGGAGAAAGTGACTCAACCTTCTCCCTAATCCCTGGAATGATCCAGATATATTATTACTGCCTATTCTACTGTCATATGATATGAGCCTAAATCATATGGTTCCCCACTATATGAGTAATAAGGTAAATAAATTTAGCTTGGGAAATTCCTGTTGGTGCTTTGCAGCTACCTTAAGAGATGGCTGTGACACTGGAGAACGCAACAAGCTGTTCATCACGTTATCTACGTGGAGTTCGGAGCACACAAACAGGATCATTTTTTTGGATGAGGGGTTTCCACCTTAATCAAGTTTCTCACATGCCAGCGTTGATCACAGTTTCCATTTCATCAGCTCGTAGCCACAGATGATGGAGTTTCGGCTTTCCTCAGACTCAAATTCACCAAATATTTTACCAAGTACCTACAGCGTATGAGCACTTAAGACTGTCTGCTCAGGACTTTCAGATATAAAATCCTCTCTCTATCCTCATAACCTGAGAAGTCGATTCTCTTATCTCCCATTTCACAGACAGAAAAACCGGTTCAAAGGCGTGAAATGACTGTCCCAAGGTTACCCAAGGTGAGCTGGCGCTCCTTCCGGGGGGTCTACATCCCTCTCCCAGACACCTGGCTGCACGCTGATGCTGCCTTTGTCCTCTGGCTGGTTAGAACCATCCACTGAGAGGCCTCACTCATGGCTCTTCTGATAACAGAGCAGAGGTCCAGGACACCAAAGGGCACTCAAGAGTGTATGAAAAATAAATGGGGGCCTAGAGGAAGCACCTGGAGTAAGGTTAAAGCAAGTGACTTTTGCTGACTAGGTTTTTCTATTCTGTTGCCCTTGTGCTCTGCTCTCTGTTTCATGAGACTGCCTTTTCAATTCCAAGTGCGCCAGGTGAAAAGGGCATCGTTTATGCGATAAGAGAAAATTAGGACAAATGGGAACATGGGAAGAGCTTTCTGACGACTTCCTTAGGGCTCATACACTTATTATTACTTTTCCCCCCTTAGGTAGCACCCTCTGCAGTGATCAGATATAATTTGATTGCCAAATGCAACATGTCTTGTTAAATGGGCTTCCTTTTACATTCCTAATTTATTTATTTTGATTGCTGGGTTGTTCATTTATTGCACTCGGAGACCTCAACAAACACTAAATGCTGGTTGTGAATGCTTATATACATATGTTTTTCATTTGTTATTTTGAGATAAAGAAAATAATCAATTTTCTAACTTAGTTATTTACTATGTAATTTCAAAAGTTAAGCAATCACTTTATATGTTAAGTTTTTTGCCAAAATTGCTATCTTTTTTCCCCTTAGAATCTAAGGTCTGTTATAATTATATTAAAGGGTATTTAAAATTTTTAAATCTCCTAGACAATGCCTTAAATGTTATCCTTGCTCTTAGAAAATGTTTTTAGGGAATCTGAGAGGGAAAACTAAAATGACAGCAGAAGTCCAAGGTCCAGAGGGAGCTGTGGAACCTAACTGTCAGCAAAGTGGGACCATGTGCACAAAGCAGGTTGAGAAGGAAGAAAGTTACCGCTGAGACATGTATACGCTGCCCTAGGAAAACGAACAACCTAATTTTTCAAAGGCAACAGCCAGAAGTCGTCTTAATTTTGTGTCTCTACCCAGCTGAGTTGGAATATATTGATATAGGGTCATTTGGTCTGGAATCAGGGTAAGGGATTATTTTGTTTCCAATAACACCCCAGGCCTGTCACATGTATAGACAAATGTGCTCACATTCACAAAGTTATCTTATAGCAAATATCCATATCCTACCTGAGCTGGCTCTGTGGGACATCTCTTCCCAGCCTCCTCCAGGAAGGAGCTCTGGCATCTCCTCCTCTGGGAAGCCTTCCAGGGCACCCTCCCCACACAGGCCAGCTGCGGTGGCTCTTCTCTCACTGCCATGTGACTGTTGTATCAGACAGAGCTCCTGGAGAGCAGGCCCGACCGGGGGTGTCCTCTGATGAAAATGTATTTCAAAATCTAAAATGGCTATTTGTAATCTCTCTCCTCCACAGCTCTTTGTGAGACTTCAGAGGCCGTGTTTCAAATTCAGATTTTCCACTGTATTCTGTGTGGTCACACTCTCAGTGTTTCCAGTGCTAACATGCAATTTGACAGTTTGTGCACCATGGACTTTTAATCAGCATGTAGATCAGTCCAAACCAGCTGCTGCCACTAGGAGAGCCTGCAGCTGGCCTGTGCCTCTTCCACCCTGCATGTCTAAGGGAGAGGCACCACGACCCAGGTAAGTTACTTTGGAAAGATTGCAACGTTGTATGAACAGTCATTATAATGATGCTGGTGTACGTATAGTGCACTCTTCTGCACTATTCACAGTGCTTTCATGTATAACAGAGAGAGGGTGATGCAGTGTGGTGCACAGGGCTTTAAAGGAAATGGGCTTGAAGTGGGGATACTTGCCTGCAAATTCTGGCTCAACCATAAGCACAGCTACTTTGGAAGAGTCATCCATCACAGCCTCAGTCTTTCCATTTGTAAAATGGGTACAATAATACCCACCCTGCCTCTCTCGTAGGCTTATTATTAGGCTTACATGAGATGCTTCCTAACCTTTCCAACTCCACAGAAAAGGATAACTTTTGTTCAGTACCACAGGGTAAATGCAAAGGTTGTAAGGCTGGAGGTGACAGCTCCTCGACTCTGGCAGCCCTGCCTGACTATCCCAAGGGCTGAGGGGATTAATATCTTCATACATCTGTACACCAGTTGGGAAGCTCTGCTGTGTAAAAGTATTTAACAAACCTTAGCTGTATACCTATACACGCTCACATTCCTGTATATTCTCCTGTCATACACACACACACACACACACACACACACACACACACACACACACACACACACACACACACACACACACACACACACACACACACACACACACACACACACACACACACACACACACACACACACATATATATAAAACCTACAAGTGGGGTGGGAGGAACCAGGTTCAGGCGTGTAAAGTGCTGGAACCTAGGCCCATGGGCATCAACTGGCAGAACATGAACAAGATCCCAAGCTCTTGTCACCTCAGATGCAGTCTGTCTCAATGCTGTGCTTTTAATCACACTTCATCCTCAGTCATCAGTTATCTTGGGAGAATACACTTGACTAATCACCAAAGTGATAATTCAGAGAAGTGGAACATTTTGTTGCCTTCATCTTACAGCCAGATCCCTCAAAGCAGCTGGCAAAATTCATATCAATGAGCTAACGATTTTATACCTGTCCCATGTCTGTACCTATATCCAAATCTATGTCTGTCTTCTATTCTGGTAGCAAGAACCATTAGACCCAGTTATGGAACTTCCACACATGCCAGCAGGGGTTCCAACAGCCCCTGGGTTATCAGTTAATGTATGTGAGGTACTTAAATGGTCCTGGGCAGACACTATAAGCTAAGCATTCTAAATATTTATTATTATTGTTATTCAAAACAAATCTTTTCAATCAGTTATAGAGAGAGAGTGTCAAAAAATAATGACTCTGCTCTGGAGAATCCTTTCATAGCTAAAGAAATTTCCTCAGACCTTGTACTCAGCAGCAGCAGCAGCATCTGGGAGCTTTTAGAAATTCAGAGCCTCACATCTACTACATTACAATCTGCATTTTAATAAGCCTCCCCCCCACCCCCCCACCCCGTGACTTGTGAGCACAGGCAAGTTTGAGAAGTGCTGCAATGGAGAACTCCAACACTGATGCGGGGACCCTTGGGTCACTGATATATTTGGTAGAAATGATGCAAAAGCAGCACTGACTCAGAAAATCTGCTCTGTATTATTGATGGATGCAGCCCTCATCTGGACCATAGGATGCAGTTCCCCGGTAGAAGGCAGTCCCGTCTGAATCAAATGAAATGCTCTGTGCAAGGGACCGTGAGAACACATGTCAGCACAGATACATCAGAGGCCCTTGTGGAACAAGGCTGAGATCCTGTAACTGTTCTGGCATGTTTGAGACAGAGGAACAGACACAAACACAACACTTTAAAAAGGAGGCAACATCATTAGGAAAGCTGCAATTTGAGAAAGGAATGTTCGGAGTAAATACAGGGAAGGGAGGAAGTTACTTACATTAACCCAGGGATGTTCGAGGACCTGCACGGCTGAAAATCGCTGATCTACATCCACCAACAGCATCATGGTAATGAGCTCCTGTGAAAGGAAACATTCAATGCCATTTGTGTCTAACATTGAAGGTAAAAATCCGGGCGTTTTCAAGAGCAGAGGTTCTGTTTTTGTTTGGAAAACATCTGTAAAAGCTCTAAACCTTGAATATATCGACTCAACTTAACCTATAGCTACCTAACACCTTTTAAAGGAAAGGTGAATTTTTGGAATTATAAATATATAGCTTGTAGTTGAGAGAGAAAAAAATAATATTAAGATCAATTTCATAAAAATATTTTTAGTAGAAAGGAAATAAAGTATTTTTCACTTTAAAGACAGATTCCAAATTATTTAATATAGAAATCACGTTTTAAAAACACTTTAAAATTTCACTTTGGCAGCTGAAAGGAAAAATGGATTTTTTTCCCTCCTAACTGCAAGAGGGCATATTTTGGTTTGAAAGAAAGGAATGAGGAAAGACATATGGAATTGCCAACAGCTAGTTGGTAAAATAGAAACTATTCTTTAGTAGCCGAAGAATTCAGAGGAAATCTGTTAAAAATGATTCAAAAATTTCCAGATCAATCAATAAAAGTAAAATAGAACCATCATGAAGCAAATGATTAAATGGTTCTGAAATTAAATGGTTCTGAATCTCCCCCATGAGCTCAAATTTATTTGCACCAGAAAAGCACGGCTTTGGCTTTAATGATGAGTCTGTCAGACATCTGTCTACTTTGGATTAGAAGTTCCCATGTAACAAAATGGTTAGGTGCGTGTTACCTGGTCCCTCATATGCATAGGCTCTGAGTACCGCTCCGTGACAGGGATGATTTATTTCCAATGATGTTTTCTAACTTGGGCCAGGATTCAATTAAAGCAACTACTATCTATGTGTGATGCTCTTTGCAGGCGCCATGGGGGTGCAGGAGATAGTCCTATCTGTCAGTGACTTTGAGCCCTTGAGTTATGAAGTGACAGCACTGAGACTTGGGACAGGTTCCTGAACTGTCTGCTCACAGGTGAAAACACCTCCAGCACCACCTCTGTGGCTATATCATCCCATCTCCTTTTACTTTTGTGGCTTTTCTTTGACACTTCTCCCAATTCCCCACATTTTCCTATAGCTAGAGGTAGATTCCTGGACAGTTGAAGAAAATGAGAGATTTGGGCCCTATATGCATCATTTTCCGTGGAAAGTGGCCAGGCCTAAGGAGTCAGATTTTAAATTGAACTCATACTCAGGACACAGCAAAAGGAAAGGCATGTATATTGAATAATCAAAAGATAATTAGTTCTCAACATCAGTTTTCCAAAAATTTAAGTCAATGCTTGGAGACATAATTTTAAGGGATCAATTTAAAAGTTTTCATTTTTTATTTCAGGGTCTACTAATGTCTCTGTGTGAGATTTTTACAGTTTTCTTAGAGATTGATCTTTTAGTTTAATTGGACAAATACCATACGCTTTGTTCCCCTCTGCCTCTAAATCCTGGCTGTCCTTCAAGGTCCAAGTTACATCATAGCTTCCCCATGACGTCTTTCTTGATCATCTTAACCCATGTTGTGCTTTCTCCACTTTAATTGATTAACTGTTTAATTCACTCATTCATTTATTCATTCATTCATGCAATATACGTTGAGCATCAGTTAGTTGCTGGTCACTATTTAGGCACTGATGATACAGCAATGAATACAATAGACAAAAATCCTTGTCTTGATAGAAATTATACCCTAGTGAGGAGAGTTAGAAAATAAACTACATAAATACAATATATCCACCTATCTATATCTATCTAGATAAGTAGACAGATACAGAGAGGTAGTTAGATGGTATACCAGATGGACACAGAGTGTAAGTGTTACGGAGAAAAATAAAGCAAAGGACGATAAGGTCAGCCAGGTAGGGGTTAAGAGCTGCAACTGGAAACAGGGTCTGGAAAAGCTTCACTGAGAAGATGACATTAAGTCAAGACCCGAGAGAGGTGAAGCAATAAGCTATACAGAAGTCTGAGGTGGGCTCAAGCCAGGTGTGGGCGGGGCATAACTAGAGGCTACAGCAATACAGCTCGAAATGACCACAGGGAGGGATGCGCCAGGGAAGCAGAAGCAGTCGATGAGTTGGGATGGCTACGGACAGACGACTCTTTGAGTATGAGCTCTTGGGAAAGTTAGTAATTATGACTAAAATGCATACAGAAATCCTATTTACGATATCATTTGTTTCTTTGATTCAGAATCAATAATTCCATTGAGACACAGGCTATAAGGAAGAGGAAAGCACTGGAAACCTACCTTTGCAGAATCAGAAACGTTATCCCAGTATGGAGAAGGGAAGTCCACTTGCCCCATTAAAATCTGATCAAAAAGCACCTCCTGGTCATCACCGCTTCTGTTTAGATGAAGGACAAGAACGAGGAATAAACAGCAGGAAAATGCCAACTCAGGGTGTATCTTTTCATTCTTATGTATTGAAGCCCTTCCTTTCCCCGCAAATGTGTAAAATGTGTGTTTTTAAGCAATTCAAAATGTCAGTATGGAACTGTTTTGGCAAATTAAGAAAGAATGAGTTTTTAAATTATATGAGGAAGATTTATGGAAGGCATGTAAATTAGCGTGCACAACATGGAAAAAATAACAAGTTCTTATGTTCTTTTCCAGCTGTACGCTCCTTTGTGCAGGGAGGCCGAATGGATCATTCAGAGGAGGGAGAAATGCTCTGTTGGTGCTGAATAAAAGATCGCTGCCCATACCCACGGAATGGAGGGAAACCACAGAGCAGGATGTAAGTGATTACACCAGCTGCCCAGATGTCCACCTTGAGGCCATATCTGAAAAAGTAAGTGATGTCAGAGTTAGCAAAGTCAGGCCAGGACAAATTACGGGGCATGGTAAAATAAATGACTCTTCTATCATAAACCAAAACCCAAACCAAACAAAATTTTAAAAACCCACAACAAACACTAAACTACAACCCACTGGCTTAACAGAATTCAAGAAAAGAATAATAATAATAAAAAAAGACTATCTAAGGCACATGACTAAAAATAAAAATGCCTACCTTCATATCTAAATATCAGTAAGTGAAGGGTTTCAGCAAAAATGTTTATTATAGTCATATCAATTTTCAGATAGAGATGGACCCCTGAGACTATTTCACTCCTGAACTTTAGAAATAATAATTACACATAAGACATTTTCCAATTTATAAAGCACTGACATACATTATCTGATTTTGTTTTCCCAACAACTCTGTAATTTGTACAGGATAAGTATTACTGCCTATTTTAAAGAAGAGAAACCCGAGGTTCAGAGGGTAAATAATTTTGCTCAAGATCTCACAATTAGTGGCACAGCTGAGTTCCAGCCAAGGTTTTCAAGAGCCGAACCAAATCCTCCTTCGACCCCACACCACCCCTTCGCAGCAGGCCATCAGAGCACCCACCAGAGATAACGGCATTGCCTCGAGGGAGGTCAGGCTCGAGGGAACTGGAGAATAAGGACAGCTGAGAGAAGTAACCACAGTAGACTGTACTCACTGCATACAGCCATGTCTGTTTCTTTTTTCTCCAATAGCTCGTTAATTACCATCACTGTATGTTTCTCTGTTAGTCCAAACATTTTTTACTGAGGGGTTAATAACTGCCATTCTACCTTTAACAAAGGCCAAAAGGAAACCTTAAACAAGATTGTAGTAACTGGCAACTTCATGGGGAAAACAGAAAATGGCTCCCACTTTCAAGTCAAAAAAAAAAAAAAAAAAAAAAAAATTGAAGTAAAAGGCAACTTAATGGGGAAAACAGAAAATGGCCCCCCCTTTCAATCAAAAAAAAAAAAAAAAAAAAAAAGTGAAAAATATCTGATAACTAGTTCTATCTGGATGGGACAGAACACTCCTATTCTATCCTTGAAGCCAACTAGCTATTTTGCAAGCACAGTACTGCAGTAAATACACAAGAAATGTTTACCCGGTCTCTGCAATGATTTCAGGGGCCACATATGTCGGGGTGCCACACACGGTGTACAGGGGGCCGTCTACAATGGTGGCCAGTCCAAAGTCGCCCAGCTTCAGCGATTTGCTGCCATCTTGGTGTTCGTACACCTAAAGTAAAAGTAAAAAGTGAAATTGCCTGAAAACCAAGAGCTCAAAAGTTCTTTCCTAAAGAAATGAAGGACATTGTGCTTTAAATTTAATATATGTTGATCTAACACAAATAGACTGCCAGATGTTTCTCTAGCAGAGATGGGTTTATTTGGGATCAGCACAGGATTGCAATTCGGGGTCTGCACCCATGGCAAGTCATGTCCAAGTCCCCACATGGCAAGGGAGGGAGATGCATTTACAAAGAGGAAAAGGAAGTTGGGAGGGTTGTAGAAAGCAAGGAGTCCATGGCTTTTCATGGATTGAGTCCTTGCCAAGAAAAAAGAGGAGTCTTTCTTCTTCCTGTTGGGCTCTGCTATGATCACAGGGAGTGAGAACGCCGCTTCTGGTCTCCTGACTCTATTTAATTGAGGTTTTGGTATATTAATATTTTACCTGTATTTATTATAAAATAAAAAATCAGGCAATTATGCAAGGATATACATACAAGAACATCTTTATATTACTGCAGAATTGAAAACATGGTGAAGAACCCGCAAATGGAAATTTGTTAAATAAATTACGGTATGTTCATACAATGGGAGGCTACGTGACCATTACAATGGTGATGTGGGTTTACATTTATTGAAATGAATCAAGTTTGGGAAGTGAGGACAGACTTCAGACTGGTTTTTATAAAATGCCTATTAAAGAAAAAAATATGTACAAAGAAAAATGTCTGGAAGAGCATCATATTGGTGTCTGTCTCTGGGTAGTAAGATTATAGGAGATTTTTCTTCCTTTTGCTTATCTGTGTTCGATGTTTGCTACAATTCAAATTGATTTGCAGAACACAATGAAATATAGCAAGTTTCTAGTGTAAAATCTCCAATTTATGAAAATAATTACCTCTTCATTTTAATATATCAGAAGCTTTAAAAATGCAATTCTTTAGTAAATTGAACAAAAAATCCACATGTCTATTAAAATACCTTATTTTCAGTGCCCCACTTTTCCAACAAGATCTATTTACATTTTTTTTATTAATAATTGAAAGGGATATTAACATTTCATTTCACCTGTGGCAATTTGGGAAGATTTATCAGGTGCAGAGTCAGCATTCTGTCCAGGTTTCCTTATTAAGGCAGTACAAATCTCTAGTCTTTCACCCAACAAATCAAGAAAAGGATGCATGTGACCATAGGCAAGTACTTAAACTGCTTTAATTCTAGCCCACGATCAAACCAAATGGATCTGTTCTAAAAAGTATACCAAACCACGTCTATTATTTCAAAGAAAAGATCAAAGGGCATTCAGAATTCTAATTCAGAGCCCTCCACTGGAATCAAGAGATACAGAAAAGAGAGCCACAGTAAAAGGCAGCTGCCAGGAGATGCCTCAAGGAAATGGCGAAGTTTTCCACGTACATCAAAATAATTCATCCAGCCAGTCGAGGCCTGCATTGTCTCCTGTTATCGCTCTATGATCATTTGTACTTGCTACAGCAGTTTGAACCTCACGCACAGCAAGGCACATCTCCACACATTAGGAGCACCGCTACCGTTCACACACCACGTCTGCCTTCCTTTGGAAAAAGTAGATTTCACTTTTCAGTTCACTGCAGCCTCAAGTGCAGGTGTTTGGCCAGCTAAGCTGCAGTATCAGCAGTGATCATTTGGATCTAACTGTTCTGGCAGAAAAAAGGCAGTCAGATCCTCCTCTCTGGAGAGACTGTGTCATTTCTGGGCAGAAAATATTTGTTTACATTTTCTCCACGTTCGGAACATGGAGTCCTCTCCCTGAGGGCTCAAGCACGATCAAGTCTGGGCTGCCCTCGGGCAGGTATCCAGAGGCTTTCAGGGCCACCTGCACCGGGGTTGTTAGGGCAAGGACAGCTGTATGTCCCCCACAGATGTGGCTTTGCCCAGTTGTCCTCTGAGATGGACACTGTCCTCCCTAGTTTAATGAAGCAGCCATCCAGCCCTGGTCAGCATAAACAAGTTTGAATCATGGACTTTGAGGCCTCAGAGCTACAAAACACAATATCCTCCCCAGTCTAAATGCTCTCAGGCAAAAGAAATCCCTAAACTGTAGTCTTAGCATGTCAGCCATTCAGGTCATTCAAAAGACAAGCAAATGTTTTTCATGAAAAGAAATCTGAGCTGGAAATACCTAGTAGATCATCTAGTTTATTTCCCAGACGGAGCAGAATTGTTTACTTCCCTAATTCCATTTCGTTACCAATAACCTTTCTAAAATGCAGAATAACCTCTTGCTTTGATGTTCTGTTAGGTCCAAACGTTCATGGTGCGTGTTTTGTGAGGTGGTGCGGATTTCAAATTACACAGCTCCATTTATACAGAGATTCTGTGGCTTTTTTTTCTAAACATACTATCCATAATCACCCAACTCTATTCCAGAGTTGGACAAAAGCAGATATTGGCAGATGCAGTCATAAGTCCCAGAATATGACCACGTAATTCTCCTCCATGTACCAAGGCTTTCTTTTTAAGCATCTACGTTTCAACAGGAATTCCATCTTACATATAGCCACATGCCAGTTGTATTTAATATAGCTGAGCAATAAAGTTCAAAGTTTCAATAACTAAGGAAAAAAAGCACTAAAAACTTACCTAAAGTAAAGAAAATGAAGATTATTTAACAGTAATAGTTCTCTTAAAATAAACCAGCATCATTTAAGTGAAATATGTAGAATCTATCATTTTAATGCTCTTTTCATCTCTCTTTACTCACTTCTACATATCCCCTTTTTTTGTTGCTTTGAAAACCATATAGTAGAATTTTCATGAACATATAAAGAGGTTAAAGTGATGCTTATGAGAGACAGTAAGAGCTAAGAGACAAAGGTCTAATCCACATAACTGAAAACATTTCTAGACCCAAGCACATTTGAAATGCTTCAGCAAAATGTTTTTGCAGGTGAATAAATGCCCAGGCCTCTCATTTGGAATTCTGTTTAACTTACTTACCGTCAGGCAGGGCAGGAAACAAGGTTGCTTTGGGTTTTTCTCTGTCAACACTTGGGGAGAAGCGTACAGAGGAAGATATTGTAGTGTTTCCCCTCCTCCCCTGGGAGAGCGCCTTTCCTAAGCGCTGCAATGCGCCCACCTCACAACTGGACTCCCCAGAGCGCCTGCTGCCGCCTGAAGTGTACTCACTCTTATTTCTTACCAAGCCATTTACAGAGGGGCAGGATGGAGGCCATTTAAAAATGTAATTAAAACTTTGTTAAAAATCACAGATTGCTGAATACATGTGTTTCAAACGTGCGCGTGCACGCACACACACATCCTCACAAAACCATCTCCAGAAAGTATTTTCCCAAATGGCAGCTATAAATTCACTTTGAACTAAGTTTTTAATTAAACGTTAGGAGTCGGAAAAGCTTCTAACACATTCGCATCCAAAACATAGAGTCCTTGGCTTCTCCCACTCTCTGAATCGACTTCCTTAGCTTGTCTCCTCACCCGGACCTTCTTTCAGAAAGAACCTTAACAGGCTGCAAGTATAAGCTTGGACAGGCTGACCCAGCAAGTGGGGTTCTGGTGTAAGAAGAACTTTTTCGCTGTGACTGTATTTTAAAGCCTCCATAACATATGCGCCACACGTGAGGTGGGGTACGTTAATTGCCAGTCAAAGAGTATTCACAACATGAGATATAATTTTATGTTCATCCCACGCCCTTTAAATACTGTAGATGCTCCCCCCACGTTTTAAACAACGAGGGGCTATTTTTTTTTTTTTTTTTTTTTTTTTTTTTTTTGGGCCTCTCACTGTTGTGGCCTCTCCCGTTGTGGAGCACAGGCTCCGGACGCGCAG